ACTTAGTCCCGCCCACAGGAGATGCGAGCGGAGGAGCCGAGGAGGGGAACCGAGGAGAGAGGAGGGGAAGCAGCAGGCGGTTAGAGAAATGAGAACTCCTCTCCTCTGAGCGGTCATTTTAAAGAGACGTCCATTAATGATGACAGGAGGCACAGCAGCCCTCTGTCTGATGGACAGATGTGTTCATGATGACTTATATATTTACTTTGATTCATTCACAGTGCGGTATAATGAGACAATAACAGGCTACAGATGCGGACACACACACACACACATATATGTAGAGGAAACTTCTGTGTAGCATGCAGTGGAGTCACCGACTCAGGAAGGAGACACGGGAAGAGTCGGAGCTTTGATGTCAAACCACTGTGATTTATTTGGAGTTGGTACCAGAGTATTCACATCACAAGTCCAAGAGTCAGAGGTTCTGACTCAACGGTAGAGTTGCCACGTCAATTCTGGAGAGCCTCTCTCTTGCCAGCCCATCTAACTGGTTTCGCAGAGAGTAAACAACATATTTGAGGAGATAGCCTAAACAGTGTGGGAACACAGAGCTACTTGCCTCGGACACTTATGACCTCGAAGATTTTACCTTGGAGTCCACAAATACAGAGAAGGAAGTGTCCCAGTGTACCCACAACACAGACCATCTGTATCCCAGTATTGACCGGTCACAGAATGGGAACAATAACATTATTGGCTAAGCCGCCTGTGTCCTTAAAGAAGGTAAACAGACATCGAGGTTTGTCCTGTATGTTACTAATTGGCGTCTTATGATAATTATTTCCACAACAATATATATAGCCTATGTATATATTTATATAAATACACTGAACAAAAATATAAACGCAACACTTTTGTTTTCGCTCCCATTTTTCTTGAGATGAACTCAAAGATCTAAAACATTTTCTATATACACAAAATAACCATTTCTCTCAAATATTGTTCACAAATCTGAAACAATCTGTGATAGTGAGCACTTCTCCTTTGCCGAGATAATCCATCCCACCTCACAGGTGTGGCATATCAAGATGCTGATTAGACAGCATGATTATTGCACAGGTGTGCCTTAGGCTGGCCACAATAAAAGGCCACTCTGAAACGTGCAGTTTTGCTTTATTGGGGGGGTCTGGGGGGGTCCGAAAACCAGTCAGTATCTGGTGTGAGGGGTAGGGTTAGGGTAATGTTGTAAATCGAGTGGCCTGTGTTCGTCGTCCATAACATACGCCTGCCCATACCATAACCCCACCACCACCATGGGCCACTCAATATCCACTCAATATCCAAATCCAGTTGTTGCCATGTTTGGCATTAAACACAGTTGAATGATCACAAACACCCTGGTATCATTTAGTTGTTTTTTTACATATTTGAAAAAGAAAATTGGGCATATCTCACTACTGTATAATATAACCTCTTTCATATTTAATTGGGCAAAGACTTAACATTTCAATACAGAGTCACAATCCAATTGATGTTAGACCTCATCAAAATGTTCTATTAATAAAAATAACTAATTTAGACGAGTGTGCAAGGCTTTTTGGACTCTTTTATCTATAATCTGCTGGATACAGAATAAGGCCCATTGCCTATGCTCTAAGATAAAGCATTCTACTTTTCTACAGCTACTTATGAACATTCTCATGAATAATTGAAGTATAAAAAACTTCATATTGGATTTAATTAAGGCCTTTGTGCAGCACAAATGTTTGCTTCCTGTTGCACCTCTTCTACTTAAGGCCTGCTAACCACAGGTCTGATCTGATTGCTTGCAAATGATGTGATGGTGATCTCTATCACGAATACTGAACAGCACTGTCATTTGTTTCAGATAAGAGCTCAGGTCAGGTCGCTAGAATGTTATGTAGAGTATATCACACACACAAACACACAAAAACACACACACACACACCTGTTTTCCTCTGACCACTCCAGCACCTCCCCACATCTCAAACATCGTGTCTGCGGCTTCAGTTTCCCCTGAAAACAAATACACATATATTATGTCCATTCTTCTAAAACCCATCATGACTCGCTCAGCACTCTTTTCACAGAGGGGAAGGCTAGAAGTACTTGTGGTCAATGCAAAGTTGGCAGAATGTTCATCCTCGCCTCATATGCAAAGTGCTTCCTGCATAATTTTTGAACTAGAACTCCGCAAAACACTGTCACTCATACACATGAAACAAATAAAACTATGTCACACAACACTGGCTTTTCCCCGGAATCTCTAAAAATAAAACCCTTGTCAAATGACAATGCATTTAGATTTTATTAAGCAGCCTGGGATTGTTTTTGACTTTATGACTCAGCTAGTTAATGTTTTACAATGAAAACAGTCACAGTTTGTTTATCTGGGAATGGTTAATTTCATAGAAATAAATGACACTGAGTTCAGAAAGGAACCTCATTCATTATTGATACGATTATTGCTTTGCCTGAGAAAACGCAGACTTTTATCAGCCAGCCGTATTCGCGTGGGCTGTTTAGGGAACATGATTAGAACAAAAAGGCAGCCCAATCGCATATTTCCCCATGGGTACTTTGAATATAGGAATGTGTTTAAATATGGTGCCCTGGTTAACACACAGACTCAGAGTCAATTTGTGTTTAGCCTTCTGTTCTAATGTAAGTGAGCAGCTGATTGTGGAGGCCTTTATTTGACTAGGGTCGGAATCTGGGAGGGAAGAGTTTACTGGCTATGCAAACAGGGCAATTTTCATGCAAAGCTTTGCACACACACACACACACACACACACACACACACACACACACACACACACACACACACACACACACACACACACACACACACACACACACACACACACACACACACACACACACACACTGGCATAATGAACTAATAAAGATGTGTGAAGCCTTAATCTAGGCTAGCAGGCAGCAAACACACAGCTACATTAGCCCAGCAACTGCCTTTAGACATGTAGAGACTTCCTTAGAAATAGAATTATTTATGTTTTGAGAAAACGGTGATACATATTGGAAAAAACTATATTTGTTAAAGAATCTCAACATTTTGAAGCATTTGAAAATAATAATGAGAAGACAAATCTATATTTGTTTTAACAATAAACAAAAGAGGTTTGATATTGCATACAAAAAGCGTCTGTTAGAAATGTAAGTATGTGCAAGTGAGTAGGGATTTGTGAATTATTGTGAGATACTTAGGGATCTCTTGAAATGTCTGTTGATTGCTATGGCTAACAAAAATGATTGGTTCCACAACTTTGGTTGGTTCATCTTGAAGTCACACTCTTAAACAAATCCTAATACATTTTACATTACACCACACCAAAGAATGTTTTTCCCATATTGCTATATTACCCTTGACCTACAAGTCATTGTGTAAATACAGTAAGACCCTCTGAAATCATTGGACATCAAAGAACAAACATATTACCTGAAAATAATATTTCCACCTGGTGAAATAGACGTCCTGACTGTGATTAACAGAAAAACAACAGGTGCTGCACTGCATTTACTCACCAGAGGTGTGCCTTGTTGCTCCTGCATGGCTCTAATAATGGCTCCTCTCCTCCTCCTGCTGAACTGTCAGGGCACAGATATTTTTCATCACCGCCCTCAGGTCAGGTGAACCACCTGGGCCATCAGGTGGTGCAAAGGTGGAGCTCTCCCTGTCTCCGGCCAATCCCAGACTCTGCTGTGCACCTTTGCTTTGCATGTCGCTCAGCGGCTGCAAATCACCCTCACTAGGACCGCATATTCCTGCTGCCTAATGCAACAAGCTTATTTCAAATACTTTAAAAACTGCTACCTTTATGTTTATTTTCTACCTTGGCACATCCATTGAGGGGGAACAAATTACAATTCAAAATTAAAATAGAACAATGGCAAATAGATTCACATAAAAAGTGTAATTTTTCCTTCAGCATTGATCTTCAATCTGTCAGTGTGACGGCTTTGCAGTATTTAATATGAGTTTAATGGAGAAATGTACGATTAGTATAGTGTTTCATCATACTGGTTTGCTTTAAGTGGCTCGTACGTAACGCCTACAGTTTTACTTCAGCCGCTAGACTGGAGCCACACGAGAACGGTAACGCAAACGAACCGAATTCGATATTAAAAAAGTTTTTCGTCCACACGCAATAGTCACCAGAAACGTGCCCGTTTACACAAGACCGCTTGAAAGTGCTGGAGACGCTGTAGTACATATGCCGGGCCTGTAAGTGGCGCTGTACCACAAAATACACCAAAAGCAGCGAAGAAGACTTCCCGCGCATGGTTGCAATGGTTGCCCTTCTGTTTATTCTCCGCGGTGGACGCTCTGGCTCCGTGCGGCAGAGTTTCCCTTTTTTCCACCGGTCAACATGTCCGTTAAAGTTTAAATCTTCCGGACAAAATTAGAAAAGTGCTGGTCAGAGGTCTTCTTTGTTATTTATTGAGTTTTATAACAAATTCATAACGACTCTATAATCATTTAAGAATAAAACATGGAGGACGGAGATCTCATGTTCTCCCCCTCTTCTGACAGCCCAGCAGCTGATCTCAAAGCACACTCCCCTCTCCTGCAGGGGGGCATGGTCAGCTGCAGCTCATTTGCATTAAAGCTATGTCACAGAATCAGCCTCTGCAAACACAGGGCTGGAAAGAGCAAAATAGAGTGAAATGAGGCATGGCTAAAATGCAGGATCTGTTTGGTATTTTGAAAAAAAAAAATATATTTATATACTTTAAATAGGTATGGCCCTACAATATATTGTTCAAATATAGCATGATAGGTCCACTTTAAGTAATGCATGCATCTGAATACTACTTCCAAGTTCCAACAATGGCCCTCATAAGAATCCCAAACGGACCCAAGACTTGTGTTGAGGGTCACAATAGTCTTCAGGACACAAATAATCCGCCCCCTCCCCCTTTCGGCCGAGCACCAGCCAATCAGCAGCCTCTGTTCATTGTGTACAAACAGAGCCTCGTGCGCCCTGCAGCCTTTAAATAGCCCTGCAGGAGAAGTGATGACCAGAGCACATCAGAGGAACACAGCAACAGCAGCCAATACACAAAAACCTAAGTAAAAACTAAAGAATGGATCCCATCAGGTGCAGAGAGTCCGTTTGCAGAAGTCTGTTTGGCCCAGTGGACCGAGAGCAGCTGCGCCGGGAACTGACGCTGAAGATGAGGGAGATCACGGAGCAGGACAGCCGCCGCTGGAACTTTAACTTCCAGACGGAGACTCCGCTGCAGGGCAGGTTTCAGTGGGAGGAGATTCCCGCCGAGTCCGCTGCTAATGTCTACCAGGAGTGCGAGCAGCAGAGAAGGGATGTTTGTTCTGCACATACTGAGGAAGAGGAGAGGCTGAGCGCAGGGGCCGACCAGGAGAACTGCTCCAGGGTCTCCAACACACGGAAGTGTCCCGCAGAGGGGACGCCCGTCCGGAGGAAGAGGACGCTCTCAAAGTCTGCAGCCAAGCCCAGGAGCAATGCACGAATTACAGGTGAGGATCAAACCCTGCAGATCCATAAATGTGCTATTTAAGCTGTAACGCAAGTTTATTCTGATAATGCTGGTCTTTTTAAGTGAGTAAACGTGTTTTTCTTTCCTGGCAGATTTCTTCGCAAAAAGAAGGAGGACCACAGAAACCAAGAGCATCCTCAATCCTTTCCACACAAGTTCCAGTGAAGCTGCTCTGTGCAAAACTATAAGATGATCATGCTTCTGGAATAATGCACTCTTTTATTTATACCTAATGGATTGGATCAAAGCCGATTCACTGCACCAAAGGATTTTATGTTATGTTATTTTATTACTTCGTTTTATTTTATTGTCAACTTGAGTGTTGGTTAAATTATAGCCTACCACTTTCTGTTATTTATTCTATTTATGAACTTTTTATTTAACGTCTTTGCATTTTTATGTTTCATTTCACAATATGTCTGTTCAAAGATTTCTCATTTGCATTATTATATGAGAAAGCACATTTGTACGACTCACTGATCCTTTGTTTCTGTACGTTTCATTTATTTCTCAATCTTGTTGGTGGATTTTTGTATTATGATGTGCAAAATGGAACAGCACTGTTTTGTCCTTGTCATGTTTGCCTAGACTAACTGAGAATGTAAAGCCTACAAAAATTGCAATGTTAAATAAACGATGTTTTAATGACACTATTTCTGATTGAGGGATTATTATATATCCTAGTACTGTCTCCCTGGAGGATCTGCACCTTTCAGATAAAGCACATTTAACATATTCAGACAAAAACCCAATTATCTACTGTCCATATTCATTTGGTGTTAAATGCTTATGCATTTACACATTCTAAAAAGCTGGTTTATATTTTGTAACTTGGGCAAAAAGTAGCTCGGAAAACTTCGTAATTAGTTTTCCAAACAATGCCTCACAACTTGTCGTGATTTAGATTTGTCTATCTGAAGCTTCCAAATGAACTGTGCCTTGCAGAACTGCACATAGTTTTGGATGTAAAACAATGATTTATAATATACTAAACAAGGTATAATTATAACAAACTGTGCATTTGCATTGCAATTTTGAGTTGAGACACAAACCTATTTGGAAATCCTTTACACTTTTAAATATTTCTGTCAAACATCTTGCAAGCCATATTAATTGGAAACGGAAATTAAAGTGTGTTTTGAGTAATAAACAGTATTTTTAAATGCACTTTCAGCTTTTAAGAGTACAAACAAACACTTACCCAAAAGCTGCTGTCATAATTTATGGTAAAAAAAAAAACCTGGAGTTCAATCATTTTATAGATTTGTGAACTGAATTTCAAATGATTAGTTTTTCAATTTGACTGCAGTTTTATGAGCAAGTACATCTTTGGTTTTATGCTGACTTCATGGCAGCCACGGTTGAGTAAGATTATAATAAGTATGCCTCTAAAGCCATAGAAAAATCAATTCATGTTGCAAGTTTGGCAATCGAAGGAAGAAAAAAACCTTTTGGAGTAATTGCATTTTCTGGGCTGTATTATGAGATGTTTCATAATCACAAAATTATAAGGACTGTGCTGTCAGGCTTGAAATTATATCCGTTAATATGAGCTGTAACTGCCAAATTAGCCCATTAAAGAGGCCAAATCCCACAGAGGCGTATTCCCTCCCACAGTGTTGGGGTTTCAGCTCTAAAGAAATAGGAGAGGCCATCTGGCCGCAGAGCAGAACAATGGCCACAAAGCAGAGTGTGCCGTCCATTTCACCTGCAAATCAGCCCTTAGAGCTCCCTGACCCCCCGAGGTCTCCCCTCAACTCCCCTCTTTTCACTCCATCTCTTTTCATAGTCGATCATCTATTATCACTGACATGTGCCCAAACCAATGCCACTAATGTTTATTCTGACTTTGGCTCATGTTTACTTGTGTATCCTCCTGCATGAAGCAAGCATAAAATAAACATAATTTACATTTTTAAATGCCTTAATGCCAAGGACAGTCAATGTTAAGTGTGTTATTTCTGCATTATAGGATGATCTTACATAATGCACCACTGAATTCATGTTACCAGTCAAGAAATCAATAATGTAACCATCCCTTGGGTGCAAAGTACCTCATGGGATCCCAATCTCTCCGCCCAACTCCTTCATTAGATTCATTAAAAGATGCACATTACAAGCTGCTAGTACATTATTATCAGTGAATGAAGCTTTCCCTAGTGCAGGGTTTGTGTCAATTAATGCAGTCATATTGCTGATTTTTTTTTTTACATTTTATCTAGTTGATAAATTAGCACTCAGCGTTTTAAGAAATACACAGTTTTAAAACGTAAAGTGAAAATAACTCTAAAAATAATTTAGTATGTTGCTACATTTTAAGCTTTGCACCTTGTGATTCAGCAAGTTGCAACTCAGTATGCAGAGTAAGCCTTGGTTGGAAATATTAACTAAAGTTATTTAGCCAGAGCAAAGCTCTGTTGTTGTTTTCATGAATTGAGCATTTACATTTGTTTGTGTTTATGACTGTTGCGGTCTTTGTTGTGGTTCTTTTAAAACCTCTACACCCTCCCTGTAGTGAATCTCTGCCCTCCCTCACCTCCTGAGTAGCACAAAGGCCATCCACCCTCAGCACACTTTAGGAGGGTGGGGTCCATTGTTGCGGACACCAGAGGCAGATGGTCACTTGGGCTTTTTCTCCTCATGGCCACTTGTGTAAAGGAATTCCTGGACACCCCATGGATGGCCAGCGAGGAAAAGGTCACCATCTGCTGCCCAAAGGTCACCCGTGCAAAGGGCATGGTGTTAGCCATGGTGTTAACTATCTCCATAAGTTAGCGGAGACAAAGCAAACCCGACATCAAAACAATAAAATAAATTCTGCTGCCTGCCACTATCAGAGATACACTGATTTTACGGAGACAGTACCTTGAATCAGTTTGATAGATGACTGAGGAGAAGAGAAACTGCAAAAAACTTCACTTTTTAATATGAAAAATTACTTTTTGCTTGTATCAAACCACCTCTGGCAGAAAGACAAACTCTCCCTGGTAACTGAAATATTTAGCTCATTTGTTTTAGTCAGAGATTCCTTGCCTGAAGGCACCATACACAACACAAAGACACTTGTTAATAATAACTACAATCTTTTATTGCTACAGAAGAATATTTCTAAATATTACAAATGTGAAAACAACATCTGATTACATTGAAAGTCAAGGTTTGAAATGTAAGGTGTTGTTCAAATCAAATCAAATCAGGTTTTATTTATAGAACACATTTAAAAACGATTTTTGGTCGTGCCAAAGTGCTGTAGGCCTACATGTAATAAAAACACTTTACTACAATAGCAACGGAAGACAATACTTTACAACAGCAAATATAAAAACAAAACACAGGGAAATGTCAGGAGTCGTACTCAGCTCTGACTAGAAGGCCAGAGAGAAGAAGTGAGTCTTCAGTGAGGATTTAAAAACCCCTAGGGTCTGGGCCGACCTCACATGCAGGGGCAGACTGTTGTTCCTAAGATATTATTTATATCGTATTTTATTCCACAAGAATACAGCATATTGAATTATAGTACACAATGCTGGGGCAAGTATTTGGCATTACTGTCTGTAACCCAGAGATGGAGTACCCGAGTCCTGGACTCGAGTCGGACTCGAGTGCCGATTTGCGGGACTCGTGACTCGACTTGTGCATTGATGCTCCGACTTGGACTCGGATTCAAGCAAGTTTTGTCTGGAGTCAGATGTACTCTGTCCCGGCTGTGCACCTGCGAGGCGAGTTCACGTACTGGGCGCGCCCCCTCTATTCCAGTATAAAGATGTCCAGAGACACACCCTGCATCATGCTGTATGCTTTCATAGATGTTGCTTCGACATTTGGAAAGAGCAGCGCAAAATGCACGTTATGTGGAAAAAGATTGAAGAGAAGGCTCCATAACACATTACTCAGTTCAGACATATCCTAGACTGTCTTGAACACAGGGGCGGAATGGGACTAAAAATCAGCCCGGGAAACTCGACCGGCCGACCGGTACCGCTAGTCAATTGTCAACCGGGGTCCACTGCCCACTTCGGTACCGGCCCACCGGGAATACTCCTGGTATTCCCAATGGCCAGTCCGCCCTGCTTGATGAACTATCATCAGAGTAATGTAATCTAATACAGATTCAGCAGATAACACGAACGCACATGGCTACTTAACATGCAGAATGTCGTCATTTTGCATGCTAAGTAGCCATGTGCTTTCTGGGGCTAAATCATTATTGATAGAATTTAAACATTCACTATAATAATTGTAGCGTCCCCGACACCCTTGCTTTTATACAATCATTACCAACAAGAACTTATGCCCTTATCAGCCAGGTGCTAAAAACCGAATGCAACTATTTAGTATATGTTAATTTATTCGTCATCTATCCCATTATAGAGTGGCAAAGTCCCTCCCCTGGACCTCCATGGGACCTTATTTCGGAAAAAGTATGCATTGAAGTCAATGGAGAGAGAACGATTATCTTTCGATCCCGTTTGAATTGTGCCACGAATTACACATATGATGTTTGTCAATTTAAAAGATAATTTTGCCAGTCAAAAAAAAAAAAAAAAGTGTCGTAAAACTGAAGTAACAAATGTTTTTGTTTGAAACGGTCAATGAACTACATCTCTGGTCTTGCACAACGACACATGTCACCAAGATGGCCGTCACTACTGTCTTGCTAAACAAGGGATTGACTACCCTCACTATCACCACAATGAAACACGTCCAGAAGAATGTCATGCAAAGCTGCCTGCCTTCCTTTGATTCTCTCTGAACTGCCTGGTCTTTTTAATGTTTAATGTCAACCATTTGTGCAGATAGCATGAAGTAGAAAAGATCGCCGATGCTAATGTAGCGTAAGCGTTAGCATTTCTCCCCCGGGCTTAAATGGTGTGTTATAGAATGATCACACCGGTGTGACAGTACTCTTCAAAGGGTTCACAAAATATGACTACTACTTTTACTGTTTAACATTTTGGGTTACTTCATGTTAAGGCTAATCAAAATGACAAGGCTAAGCCGGCTGTAATGCTAACTAACGTGCTTGCTACTAGCTAGATAGCTAACTTGATCCAGCCACTCCTGGTCCTTTCATCAGACGGGAAGCGAAAGAACGAGCAAGACCCATTGCTTGTATGATGGCTGACAACCTGGTATAAGCACACAGGCATCTTGTTAAAGTTATCTTATCTTAGCTATCTCTTATATTTAGCGGATGAAAACAATTGTGACATCAATTATGACATAACTTACGCGACTCTGGGATTTGTAGTCTTTATAGTTGCGTATTTTTCATAGTCTTATATTTCAACAGTTTTACGACAAACTGACTTTTTTGACATGGAAATTATTTTTTAAGATTGACAAACATCATAAGTGTAATTCGTGGCACAATTCAAACGGGATCGAAAGATACGTTTCTCTCTCCATTGACTTCAATACATAATTTTTCCGAAATAAGGTCCCATGGACCGGAAGTAGATGGGTGTGACTTCGCCACTCTATACATGTTGTCCATTGACATCCGGTAAAAGTTCCTTCAAAATAAGAGTCCCGATCTTATTACTATCAAAATAAAAGTGCAAAACGAAAATATTTGCATACAAATATAATCACTTCTCTAAAAGGTAACTCATTTTAAATATAGTTAGACATATTAAAGGTAATTTACAATAACAATAATAATAATAATATTAATATTAGTAATAAGCTTTATATTTGTACAGCATTTTTTATACAAGAATTGTAGCCAAACTCGCTTCACAGCAGTTCAATAGACAAGTTAATATAACATGACAGGATAAAAGCAATGTAGAGGAGCAGCTACATTTCAACAAATGTATCCACTAAGATTAATATATAAAGACTTGTGACTCGGACTTGACTTGGACTCTTCTTGGCTGACTCGGACTTGGACTCGGACTCGAACACAGGTAATGATGACTCTGACTCGACTCGGACACTCCTTGGGTGACTCGGACTTGGACTCGAACACAGGTAATGATGACTCGGACTCGACTCGGACACTCCTTAGGTGACTCAGACTTGGACTCCGACTCGACTCTCCCTAGGTGACTCTGACTTGGACTCGAAAAGTGGGGACTCGAGAGTGACTTGGACTCGTGAACATGTTGAAAATCATTGTTGAGATGTCAATAATGGATTGAATTAATTGTTACTATCATTGTGCCAACATTCAGCAAAGCTGCTAGATATAAAGATAAAGGCACAGAGTAATATGACAAGGAGAGACTGGGTCAAATCTTGGACCTGAGAGTTGGGGGTGGAGCGGGGCCACAAGGCCAAAGTGGGAGTGGCCTGCAGTACATTACATTCAGTGTCAATAAAAAGCAGTTTGCTCTATAAAGTTACGTTTTTTGCTGAATGTTACCGCTTTGCATTACAGCTAAGCTGAGGTGTTTATCAACAGGTCAAGACTTCCTTTTCCGTGTTTGGCTCATTATTTGTCTGAAACGCATTCTAAGTCAATAGAAGTACATTTACAAGCACATTTTAAGCTAACAAAAAGCAAAATCATTGTCAAACAATTTATGATTAGTCAACATTTGCATTCCTTCTCTTTGCTCTACACGCAAACTGTTTACTTTCATTAAACATGATTGGCCAACACATTTCCGACCATAACCAGAAACCACAACACTTTGGATACCACTATCTTTTCATGCTTCCTACAGATTCTCCATCAATATGCATTTATTGCGTAAGTGCTACAGTTGTCAGTATCTCTGTTGTAGGGAGTGCAATAAATGCAGTTAGAGTTAAGGGATTACTATACTAAAGTTTAGTTACTGCAGTTAAACTTAGTTTTTAACTCTAACTCTGTGAGGGACTACGGATGGACATTAGCTCAAAGCTAAAATCCGGCATGTTTACGTTTTAAAGCATTATTTGTTTTAAATGTTCATCAATATGCATTGTCCCTCTTCATATAAACGATTAAAAAACAAAACAAAAAAAACCCTCATAGTTATATACCACAAATGTTACAAGCTGTTTTCACATAAATGATTTATACTTATATAATATATCCTATGTTTTTCTAAAAGAAAGGTATAGTAAATCAAATGTCAATAAGTCTAAATCAAGTCATAATGGATACTTTTATCAACATTTTGGGCAGCTGACAAACAGATAAATAGATTAATAGATAACTTAGTTTGATCTGAATACATTTTATAAATTGTTTTAAAAAGAGAAAAACGTCCTGGTCTCAGCAGTTCTCCTCCCGACTGGCATGGTGGGGGCCGGCTGCAGTGTTGGAGGAGAGGGGGGAAGGTGATGAAGACAGCTGGTCATAGCTTGGCAGGCTGTCCTGACTCGGGAGTACATTACAGGTCCTTCCTTGCCTTACTGTCACCCCGCCTCCCCCTCCACCTCCACCCTCACAGTCACCCGGGTCCCTCTGGGCCAGCAGGAAGGTGAGGGACTCTGCGATGCGGTTTAGCGTTTGGTCCATGTGCGATATCTACGAAAGATTAAATAGATGTTGATAAAAGTAAACAAAATGCTCTGGCTGAGAGTTATTTAAATGTTATGATGTAGAGATATATTTTAATTCCATTGTGTGACAAAGGCATCATAGTATTGACCTGTGCCACATTGATTTATTGCTACATTGTGCATGGCTCATTAGACAAAACTATATTTGGTGAAAGTAAAATAAATGAGTTAATAACACACATTAAATTAAAGCCATAATAATACATCTGAGCCTTTAACAGCAAACATGGAAAACCCACACATTCACAACCACTTAAGTTGTATTTAGTAAACGAAAAAAACCTTGTTATTTACTAAATTCATTTTGTGACTAAATCATTTGATTTGATTTCACATGGTTTAGAGGCAGGTATGTCAGGAGTATTTGGAAAACAAGTTAAAGGGAGGTTGTCAAAATGAGTGCTTTTCTTTGTTTTGACACATCTTAAAAAAGAATTGAAAGGAAAACAACATCAAGGTTTCTCATTGTTTGCTGCTTGCTGGCACAAGCTGTTCAAGTTTTTCATTTGAATCCACAATAACAGGGCCATGTCTATGCAAAGTTATTTTATATTACAAAGCCAAGTAAACCTTTGTTGCATTACCCAATTTCAAGTGTCTTTTTAATGTCTTTTAACTGTGGTCAATAAAAACATATTTATTTTCATAAAGGCTAAAAATATAAAATGGTAAAATAATACTCTGAAACATTAAACTTCAGAGTAATATTGCAAAAGCTTTTGACAGATTTTGAACAAACCCCACCTTGTCCTCCATCCTGTTGAGTCGGGCTCCGATTGAGTTGGTGCCTTTGTCTTTGTCTCGGTCTTCAGAGGGAAGTACATAAAAAGACAGGGGGATTAGGACTGTGGTTTGTTCCATATTTACTGTCAAATATTTTCTGAGAGCAGTGGAGTAATTCATTACCGGAGCCCGACTGGAACAAAGTTATCTTCCCTATAGACTGGTCCAGTCTGAGAGAAACAACAGGAAATGAATGAGAGTTGTATACTTTCCCTCTGTATTTTCTCCGCCATTCCTCTTGTGTTTTAGATAGTTCTTTTTTAGAAAATAAAATAATCCTCTATTAATCCCACAATGCGGACATTTAAAGTTGTACACCAGCAATGGGACAGTACATCAACAAGGGGAAGAATAAAAGTATAATTAATAAGTAAACCGTTTAAAAACCAAATCTTCACGGGGCGTCTGTGGCTGTGAGGGAATGAATGAGGTGTGAATGCGTGAGTGACTTGTAGTATGTAAAGCGCTTTGAGGGGTTATAAAGACCTGATAAAGTGCTGTATAAGTGCAGTCAATTTACCATTTACCTAATTCAAATCATTGCACATATGATATTGTTGTCTGGGAGCAGAGCTGATTTTACTTTCTGAAAGTAAGCAGGCTTCCGGATTGTCTTACATTTTCTGTCTCAAAAACACCATCATCTACCATTGCATTTCTCAGGGTATATTAGTCATACTGTATGAAGCTGGATATTCATCAAGCACTGTACCTTCTTTGCAGCTCCTTAATTCGCACCATGAGGTTGAGGTGACCCTGGGAGTATTGCTCGATCACATCCCGCACATCATAGGGCTTACGAGCTTGCTACAAATGGGGAAAAAAGGTTTGGAACTTTTACATCAAAGATTTGTCTTCATTATAAACGTCTTGTTAGGTATAACCCCTTTATATATATCAAATATGTAACAAATGTACATTGTATTTTCCTCATATATCATTCTTCTACGTAGACTGATAGAAAATGAACAAACCCTGGGAGCAGGTTTTAGTAGAGTACTTGCTGCAGCAAATTGTTTGGAAAGAGGCAATCCATTTAAGCTGTCAAAGCTCTGCTCACTTTTCATTTGCAAACTCTGCTGTAAGACTACTCCAAACTCTGGCTGTTATCAACCTCTATCCACCTGTAGGCACGAGTGTACGTTCCCCTGCGGCAAACATTATTTTTGGTACTCCCCAACCTCTACTGCAGAGTGTGTGTTTGCTTGTCAAGTCAGATGCTAAATAATAACTGTACCTCCTATATAACCCCTTAATAATAAATCAATGTCATGTAAGTTGGATACCTCAAATGTGAACACTGAAAAATCAGCCTGTGAGAAAAAGCTGTAAAATGGTGTCTCACGTACCTGGAAGTTTCTCTTGGCTACAAAATAACGCATTCTCTGGATCACCCGGATGGCTTTTCGGTGAGACTCAGTCAATCTGTGTAAAAGAGTTCCATATGAATGCTTTGAAGTTTCTCCTGGGAAAACGAAACGAAGCTGAGTGTGGTGAAAAGGACTTTTCATGTGTTAGAGAAAGCATTAGAAAACAGAGAATAACCCTGGAAACTTTAACATCAAGGTCAGCCATTTAAAAACTCCACATTTATTTTTCTTCACACACATCATCGTGAAAAGATGCTTAATATGACCTTCACACCTAAACTTAGGGGAGAATTGTTGATGTTCAGTCCACATCAAAAGCCTCTCCCTTCGGACTTTCTTTGAATGGGATCAAGGTTTTGTAAGGGTTTTAAATCCTGCATAAAAGGCCCACAATAATTGTAGTTCATTTTGCCTCTATTATAATATTAATTGACCAGTTACAATCTGGGTTCGTTACCATTTAAAGTTAATGTGTGTGAGGGCTGAGCCGTGCTTTGTCAAGTCCAGGTGAGACTACAGGAACAAATTGTGTGTTTGTCTCATAATTGGCTTTCATTGGCAATGCAATAGACATAATCTTGAATGTAGCTTTTTACAACGAAATGTAGATCCTTTTTACAACGAAATGTAGATCCTTTTTACAACGAAATGTAGATCCTTATTATTTTTTTTCCCACATTTCCACAACAAATGGTGGTTGTATAACTGCAAAATGAGTGACATGGCCGCCGGACAGTGGTTAGAGCATGGATGTATAATAAGAACTGGATACAGCGTCGGAGGCGGGGTCTCGTTCTTTCCTATGAGAGCTGCTCATTGGCGCATGAGGACAAAACGGCCCAACTTTTGAGAGAGCGAAACGTCACAGATTACCCGTCATGCCTAGCTGTCAGAGCAGAAGAACCTGTATGTGCGCTTACAGAGCTAATTTGTTCCTCAGAGTCCGGCGCACTTCCTGGGGGCTTGGGTTAGAGCTGTACACAGATTTGACTCCTGAGCAGAAGCCTCGGGCAATGTCATCCCTTCTATCTCCCCCTTTCAACACTGTCACGATTCTTGTGTTGTGTCACGTTTTTAGTTTTGTGTGTCTGGTAGTGGGTGTTTTGCTTTTCTCCTTGTCATGTTTTCCTCCCTGTGTATTGTCTGGTCTTTCCCCCGGTGTTTTCATGTCTGTCGTTAGTTTCCCTGGTGTGTCTAATTTCCTGATTGTTTTCACCTGTCACCCCTTCTGTGTCTCCTGTGCTCATCAGTGTCAGCCCCGCCCCTGATTGTTCCCACCTGTGTCTTGTTACCCTGTGTTTAAATTCCCCTGTCTCCCAGTGTTCAGTGTCAGTTCGTTTTTTGCCACGGAAGGTCTTGTCTCTTGCCACAGTCAGGTCTATGCTCTCTTAGTGCTATGGTTAAGTTTTGTTCCTCACCACGTGAGCGATTTTCATTTGGTTCTCTATTTTTGTCATCTCAAACTTGAGATTTGATAGTGACCTTTTTTTGTTGTTTTTGCTGTATTTTGGAAAAATAAAGTATATTACAAATACTTTACCTCTGTCTCCCGGGTCGTGCAATTGGGTCCTATCTCCTAAGTGTCTGAGTTTGTAACAAAAACATTTCACAGTAACTATAATAAAAAATAAAAACGATTTCCTTAAAAAATGATGATTCGTCATCACGCTCGTGACCCCGCGCAGCGAGCTGGGGGTGTGTCAGTGACACACCCACTGGGGGTGTCGCCCGCCGATTTTGCGGCAGCTCTTTCCCTCAATAACGCTAACGAAAAAGCTCTGTAATGGCAGGCAAACATTTTTACTTTACTTCTTTTCTAAAAAGAATATAATTCACAAGAAGAAAGAGGCTAGCAGCACCGAAGCTACAAGTGAAGCTGCTACTAGTAGGCTACTACATCATCAGAATCGCCGCCTAAAGACATGGATAATGCTAGCGTTAACGTTAGCTGCGCTAGCAACGTTCCCCTGGCTAGCTCAAGCTCACCTTTCCCAGAGGTATGGACGGAGGAGATGTGGCAGAGGAAACAAGAGGCATACCCGTGGATAGACTGCAAAGAGCTGGGAAACTGGGCTGCAAAGTTTGTTCATCCAGTTCGGATTTAGAGAGAGAGAGAGAGAGAGAGAATATACTGTAGCTTATGTTTATGTGCCAGTGTGCCCATGGTTTTGAATCTGTGTGTTGAGCGCAGCGCCGTCTACTTTTTGCAGTACAGTAACTAAAATAGGACTAAGCATACCGGTAGTTTCTGTGGACCTGTCTGCCCGTTTTGTGAGTGCACTTGTGTGGCATTGTTTGGGATGACCTAATTAAAATAGCGTCCCCCCAGTAAAAACTACACCACTGGGTATAAGTATCATCACTGTGCGACAAAACGCAGGCAGCGAAGGCGAAACCAGACAACACACAATTTAGCTGAGCCAAAACGGCAAATATGTCTTACCTTTCCTGTTTTTCTGATCAAAAGTTGTGTTCAATGGCATTAAAACGATAAAAACGCTGCTGAAGGTTAATCCAATGTGTCTGTATCACTTTAAAATGAATATTGATAATCCATCATTCCATTGTTGTCAAAAACGGAAATTTCATATTAGCTGCTATGATAGCTACAACCCAGCTTCCGGTTTTGGGCAAACTGCGTGCGCATCACACTCACTCCTCAATAGAGGCGAAGTCCCGCCCATCTACTTCCGACCCATGGGACCTTATTTCGGAAAAATTATGTATTGAAGTCAATGGGGAGAGAAAACGTATCTTTCGATCCCGTTTGAATTGTGCCACAAATTACACATATGATGTTTGTCAATCTTAAAAAATATTTCCATGTCAAAAAAGTCACAGTTTGTCGAAAAACTGTTGAAATATAAGACTATGAAAAATACGCAAATTGAAAGACTACAAATCCCAGAATCCTGGTCCCGCATGTTGGCTCTTACGGAACGGACTAACTCCCCTTTTGTGTATGTACAGCTCTCAACATGCCCAGACTTGTAGTGATTTTCACCTCTTTTAATACTTTTCGCCTCATTCTGAAAGAAAGAAGTGAAATGTGCCAACGTGACGGCCGTCTTGGTGTTTGGTGCGAGACGGGAGATGTAGTTCATTGAGCGTTTCACACAAAAAAATGTGTTACTTCACAGTTTTACAACACATTTTAATATTTTTGACTTGCAAAATTATCTTTTCAATTGACAAACATCATATGTGTGATTTGTGGCACAATTCAAACGGAATCGAAAGATAATCTTTCTCTCTCCATTGACTTCAATACATAATTTTTACGAAATAAGGTCCCATGGAGCTCCCCCGGAAAGGGAGGGACTTTGCCTCTCTATGGCAATGTTTAGATGGATCTTAGGAAAGGAAGTTCCTAAGATTCATCTAAACATTGATCGATCGAGGGCCTCGACCCAAGTTTTTCATTCATTGCAACTACACCGTAGTTGTGTATATGATATGTGAATAAACCTTAGGAAATCTTGAAAGGGATGTGCAAAATAGCCATTATACAGTCTTTAATTAACAATCAGTAGAGAATAATTAATGAAAAACTTGGATCGCAGGTTCCTCAACAGTGGACATCCATCCATATGTGTGTATACCTCCACCATTAAACAGTCATATTCTGCACATTTCTTATACTATCTACATACATCGTATAAGAGTATAATAAATATATATAATATCAGATAAAATAAGTGCTTAAACATAGTTAACATTGCAGGAAAGCAATATATAAGTACTTTGTCAGGCTTAATATTTACTTAATATTTACCCCCAAAGCTTTTTTCTTATTCAAAAGAAGACCTTAACCTAAAGTATTCTTTAATGTTTAAATAAAGCCTTATTAGTTTGTCCGTTTTTCATATCCTCCTATTAATATCTAATAATAAAAATAATACAATTAAATAACGTGCTTTAACCACTAGGTGTCCCTTTCTATCAGCTGTGCACCGTTATGCTGTAAATACAGCCTATCTACCAATTGGATCAAATATAAAAGTCAGCCGAATTAGTGTTGATACTGCAAGGAGACGTATTGTGTGAAGAGAAATTGAAGATGTTGTTTAATTGCTGATATATTTATGATCCACGTCACATATTCAGTTGCGGCGGCATTTCTTCCTGTTTGTCCAGAAGTCTTCTCATCAGGGCTCTATAAATAAAGAACTACGGCAGATATGTAATATTTAATGCAGCCAAACCGTGTATTACAATGCCGTTATGTGATGACTTTCAAAGAGAAAAGCAAGCACACTCGGAATAAAGTATAATTTTATGTTTTTTAAATGTTTTCGGATTTCACATCGCATAAACACCATATCCCAACGTGCTTTGCGGCTATAACATCCAATCACCGAGCTGAGGATCTTGCTTACGACTGTTTCCGGTATTGTTAATGACGGATGTATTTAGTTATACACACATTCCTTCACATTTACATTTTAATTTACATTAAAGTATTTCGTGAGGCCTTCTAAAATGTTTTAAAATATAACTAGGGTTCTAGTTGAAGAGTTTGTAAATTAACATGAACCAAAGCTGTTGCCTGGCAACGCAATCGCACAACGTCACGTCGGTTAATTCCACAAACACACACATGGATTAACATCGATTTAATACATTAATGTAGCCTTTGTTTCTGCTAAAAGAGGTGTCGACCAGCTGGGGAAACAAGAAAATCGGCGAAATCGAGTGTGACTATTAAAAAAAAAAAATAAAATTATATTAATATTGACAATAACAACCGACCGTCGGGGCAGGGATCACCAACTATATTTGTCCAAGGGCCAAAATGTATCCAATAGACACTATCGCGGGCCAGCGATTTTTATATAGTCCATAATTTTGAAGTTGTAGACCGGGGGGGGGTATTGAGTGTTCTGTAATCAGTTACTAAATACTGAATACATGGCTCTGAAAGTAATCAGAATACAGTTACAGTTACGTGCCTTAAACGTTGGAATCGGGTCTACTTTAACGTATTCAGATTACTTTTAGAATACTTTTAGAATACTTTATTTTTCCATAACAGATGGGTATGTTTTGGTGAACAGGAGGCGTCTATCGTTATTCCAACCCAGTTTAGATTTTGCTTCCGCATTACGCAAGAACGTAGCTCTACGCGATAGCGTCATAGCCTTCTTCTTTGGCTGTTATAGCAACCTGGCGTTACATCTCTATGGGCAGCAAATATGAATCTGACAAGCGAAATACCGTCCTTTTAAACGCCCATAATTATAATTATAATAATATAATAGTGCTTCTTTGTCAATATGACTGACGACCACACTTATGCAGTGCTGACCACACTTATGCAGTGCTGAGGTAATGTTAATTCATCATTTAATATTAATTCCTGATGGATATAAGAGGGATACATTAGCAAACATCTGTATATATAGCCTATATAATGTTTCGTTTTTTTGTTTGTCATGTAACATATTAACGTTTTGACCTTCTGTTTAGGATGTAAAGGTATCTATTTAATATTTTATTTAATGTCTATTTTGTTATATAATACAACATATAACATTTGACATTAATAACATATAAACGTTTTTAAAATATAAAAATGAAATGTTGGGACATTTATAAAAATGTATTCCTTTACATAAAAGTGCTTTCCAGAGGTGTAAGAAGTGATAAGATCTTGTACTGTACTTGAGTAAAGGTACAAGTACCAGAGTGTAGAAATACATCTGTGTGTATACATGTGTGAGTACATATAAGTGTGTGTTTATATGTTTATAAATGTGTGTATATATATAAAACAGTATCATTAAATAATGCTGTGTGTGTATAAATGAATGAATACATCTGTGTATATTTATGAATAAATATATGTGTGAGTACATATAAGTGTGTGTGTATATGAATAAATGTATATATAAAATAGTATCATTAAATATATATATATAAAATAGTATCATTAAATAATGCTGTCAAATAAATGAAGTGCACAGTAATAGTCAAGGTTATATTCAATATTCTGCTGATAAGATAAGATATTTAAAACGTCTTTTGTTTGTCCTGAAAACGACATTTGAGAATACACACAGGCTATTTATAGATGATAAAACACCAGTAATACAATCTCAGGAATCTTCGATATGGCTTTGATTACAGGATCGTTTACTTTCAGTCAACAAACAAACAGGATCGTTTACTTTCAGTCAACAAATCCTTTGGAAAGACAAAAAACAACTATTCATCCTGCTGCGACCGCTATAACAGCCGAAGAATAACAGCCGAAGAAGAAGGCTATGACGCTATCGCGTAGAGCTACGTTCTTGCGTAATGCGGAAGCAAAATCTAAACGGTTGGAATAACGATAGACGCGAACAGGAGACACGTATTTTACTGTTTTAATGGCTTATCAAGAACTCAAACACAACATCTTGGTGTCATTCTGGACAGCTCCCTCTCATCTGCACCACACATACAAAACATCCCCCGGACTGCATTCTTTGTACTGTCTTAAAACCTTTCCTTAGAATATGTTATGAATTGTAAGGTGTCCTTGGGTGCTTTGAAAGGCGCGCCTAAATAGAATGATTTATCATTATTATTTATTATCTGAAACGATGTTATAACTTTTTAAACGTTTTCCAGTCACTTGCCCCAGGCATTCAGCAGCAGCAGGCCATTCACTTTGATTTGATCCCGTTATGAAATGTCATCATTTCGACAATAAAGAAATTCTACATAAAGGTTATCTTGCACATTTTATCTAACAATCTCCGTTTCTAACTGTCAATATATTTTAAAAGAGATCTCTCTCTCTCTGCGTGCGGGGGCGGGGCCTCACAGACACTGCATCTCTCTCTCGCTCACAGACATGCTGCAGCGCCGTGCAGTGTGCACACACAGCTCTGCCGGTAATGAATATTACATTTTGTGAGGAAATTTTTCCACCAATAATTCCAATAAGTATTCCAAAATGTATTCACTTCAGGTTTACGAAAGTAACTGTAATCAGATTACTCGTTTTTCAAATGTAACGCCAGCTGAATACAGTTAGCCTACTTGATTTGTGTATTCTGATTACGTAACGCCGTTACATGTATTCCGTTACAACCCAACCCTGCTTCTAGGCTACTGTCCCGCAGCTCCTGCCTCTCTGTTGGACTCTGTCGCAGCAGGGCTACTGCTGTGGTGCGGAGCGCACAAACCAGACTCTTCACAACCAGAGCCATATAATATAATTATTATATATAGAATAATTCTATTATATGGCTCTGTTCACAACGAAGGATCACTTCTTCTTCAAGGCAGGGAAGGTTTTGCAGTACGCAGTCTACTGTCCCGCAGCTGCTGCCTCTCTGTTGGACTCCGGTACTGCACACAGTGGTTACTGCGAACGCAGTAACCACGCCGCAGTCACCCCCGTCGTGCGGGCCGGATGAGAATGTCTGGCGGGCCGGATGTGGCCCGCGGGCCGCCAGTTGGTGGTCACTGGGGTAGAGCATTTGCTTGGCATTTCCGGGTATTTCTCCACTAGTTGGGCCATGTTAACAATACCGTGTAACTGTCACGTTTGAAGGGACGAAATCGTGACATCTTCACGTCTTCCAGCATGGTAAATCGTCACATGTTCACGTCTTGCCGTGATACCGGGTTGCTTATATTGTGCTCAAGTTGGTGGTTTCCCTATTTGTTGAGCAGAGAGCTCATTCTTTAATGCCAATCTTTTCCCCCCATTGCTCTAAATCCGCCATTCTTTGACTGTTGATTAAGTTGGTGGACTTTCTACCGATTTAGGAGTAGCTCCAACAGCTATAACAGCCTGTTAAAAAAGTTGCATTATTTATGTTTCAACTAAATTGTGCTTCAATGTTTTCAATTAAAACTACAACTGAGGCAAAGTATTTTGCCTCGGCTCAATGCGTGCTGGTTGCCTAAATGGAACAGCTTCTGCACCTTTGTTTTCTCTAGAAATTGGTCCAACTGCTTCCTGAGATAGAAATAAACAATACAACGTGAGAAACATGACAAATGTTTTTCCAGGAGGCTGAAAACCTTTGCCTCCCACCTACCTACCTGTTTCAATCCCAGCTTCTTTAGTTACACTTTAAAGACCATGTCTGTTAGGAGAGGTGCAATTTCTGTCTGTTTGTAACAAAAGTCTTGTAGTTTAGCGAAAACCTCTTAAAACCTCAATCATCTTCAACTTACCAATACATCCTGCACTGTGTTGTCAATACCAAGGCAGCTGCAGAAATATAACATCAATAATACAAGCTGCATCTTACATTTATTTACCAAAAGCAAACATTTTCATTGATAAGAAAAAAGATATTTCTCATAAAGGTTCAATTTAGCATTGTGATGTGATGTGGCTTTTGCTATGTGAACAGCTGGTAATGTATTTTGGTGTCAGCAGAGCACAAAGTGATTTTTGCCAAGAATGCTGCTGCATGCAATTCCCACTTTGCATCATTACCCCAGCGTCTAAAAGAGGAAATCCCATAGTTCAAAACTGTCGTGCCATTTGTTTCACTTACTATGCACTTATATTACACTACAGTTACTGTACGCTCATTTGCTCGTATCAGGTGGAGTCTCTCGCTGTCCAAAGTGTCTCGGCATGCACAAGTGTTTTTCCCTAATAGAGAATAATTTCACAGCAGAGAAATCTGCTGTGAGGCTTGGCATATTCAAATGGTTAATTATAAAGACAAAAAAACACACACAAACACTGACATACGATGTCTTCAAAGGTCTCCTATCATGCAAAATGCACTTTTTAATTTTTAATTTAATTTTTAATTTTTAATTTAATTATAAAGACAAAAAAACACACACAAACACTGACATACGTCGTCTTCAAAGGTCTCCTATCATGCAAAATGCACTTTTTAACATATTTTATACATAAATATGTGTCCCCGGTGTGTCAGGGAACTCACAAAGTGTCAGAAAATAAAACCCTCTCTCTTTTCCTCCATAACGAAATCTCAAAAACGGGCTACAACGGAGTTAATCCAGATTTTCTGCCGATATGACGTAATATTGGAAATGTGGGCTGGCTTTACACCAACGGCCCTATCAGAAACAATGCACTGCGTGTTTTGGACGTTATATGGTCTTTGTTTACATTAGCAAGCATCGCTAACACTCAGAGCTAACCTGTACTTGAGAGAGTATGTGTAAAGAAGCAGGAAATAAAGAAAGGAACTCACCTTTTTTGAGCTCCATACTGTTTCAGAAATAATCCTTGATGTGGTATGGAACATGATATTGCGTTTAATCACGGCAGCATTTAGAGTATCTGCCGGTAGAATTCTAAGCAGGCATTAGCTCCTCCGCTCTTTTTTTTGTTGTTTTTTTAAAAAGCTAAGGAACCAGAATCAGCCATTCTCTAACAGGGCTGAAACAGAGGGATATGAGGGATGTCTAAAATGCATGATCTGTTTGGTATTTTGAGCAAAACACATCATAGACATATTTTTTATATATTTTTATATATCTGAGAATATGCCTCAAAATTGCATGTTAGGAGATCTTTAAAATACGTTCGTAAACACGGCATCTATGCAACGGGGATGAACTCACTGTGACCTGGAGCTGACAGGAACCAGCTCATTGTACGGCTCCGCCTCCTGCTCCAGGTCATCTGCAAAGCTGCAATTCCTCCGCAGGGGGGGGGGAGAGTGGACGTCCAGCAGGCCTGGGCTTCTGTTCACTGCCAATCACACGCAAACACACACATTAGACTAGTTATCCATATATATGTGTATCCAGGACATTCACAGATGCTGCTGGTTAAGTTGTGCTGTTTTATAGATTGGGACTCGGGTCAGGTCGAGGTGTGGTGATTTACTTTAATTCAATTGATCTAAATGCTTGCTTTAATCTCTTGCTGCTTCTATCAACAAAACAGAAGTAATTGAGCCTTTATGGTGAATGTGCTTGCTGAGCTAAAAGTCACAGCTGAAGTAAATGGCTAAAATCCCTGATGCATTATGGAAGGTAATACATTGTGGGAACATTATGACCCGGTCTGTGTGATTGCTTGCTCTGTTTAAGAAAATTACCGAGCTCTCATTTTCTGATGGGACAAAAAGTGATCTTGTATAATGTGGCAATTTCAAAATAATTTGGTGCTTGTGAGAAACATTTTGTTCAGAACAGCTCATTTGCAAAAACAGACAAAGGCTGTTCTTAAAGGTGGGGTAGGTAAGTTTCAGAAACCGGCTCGAGATACACTTTTTGTTATATTCCATAGAATGCTCTTAACATCCCGATAGCAATGAATATCTTAAGTGCTTTGACAAAAAATCCATAAAAAAAAGTCATCTGTGGAAGCCGTAATACTGTAAAAAGTATTTTTTACAGTTTCGGCTGTGTACTTTCAAATTTTAGTGCACTCGAGCCGGTTTCTGAAACTTACCTACCCCACAATTAAATTGAATACACCTATATTCGTTTGATTGATATTCCCTTGAGTGCACAATAAAAACAACATTTTTCATATAAATTAACTTCAACTGAGGTGTCTTATTAAAACAACATATCATGTTGGTACTCCCTGGAGTGCGAAAATAGAAACACAGGACTTCTGAATGGTTTAAAGTCCATTCACTTGATTTTCCTGATAATATTTACATTATACAAATTGTACAATTGTTTCCCTGAGTAAGATGACTATTAAGCTCTTTTCAAAACAAATGGCATACCTTATTTCACAGATCATAATAAAGAGTCCTTATTATGTTGTTGGAGGTTTTCCCTTCCCTGTAGTGTTATATAGGTTAATGTATGTGCATGTAAATGCTCTGCAAAGGCTAAAATCCCAAGGTTCCCTCCAGAAGGAGTTTCTCTCCCAGACACTCCCCCCCCTGCCTGAAGCGTCTCCATTGGACTTCTTTGTTTACTTCCGTAACATAATTACATTACTGTGTAACATTTGCGGTAATATTGGCTAGTGCTCCAACACATTCTGCGTGATGGGCTAAGGGGATGGACATTTCATATTGGTTGACCAATCACAACAGAGCTCGCCAGCTAACCAGTCGTTTCAGACAGAGGGTGAAAAGAGCTGCTGCAGAACAGGCAGTATGAGAAATAGAGACCTTGTTATACATTCAATTATGTAAACAGTTCACAGTAGAGGTGGAAAAAAAATATGAACCGAAAATGAGGCCCCTTATAAACGCATCACACTGTAGTTCACTCTTAAAATGACCTATGTGATGCGACTGTTTATTACTTTAGAGAAAAAGCAACCTGAATATCATATCATAACATCATGTTGTTACCTGGAGGTGGTGAGCTGAACTGAAGGGAGGACAGAGATGTCCAGGTCTGCTGGCAATCTGAAATACACGTGAAAGGAAACACAACCATTACAAATCTTTACCACAGCACAACAACAGGACAAACAAAATATTAGTTGCAAGCTATGGTGCAAAGCATTCAATGTTCTACTCATCACTCACATCATTACTCAAACATAAAACAACAGGAGCATGTAAAAAACTGTGCTTTTAGAGTAACAGAAGATAAAAAGGAGAGCAAGTGAGGACAGTAAGGGCACTGAGGACATGTGCTGGACGTGGACACTAACAGCAGCTCACCACATCCTGCCAGAGTGTGGAGTCCTGCAGAACCAGCTACAGACAAAACATCAAGAGAGGAAAAGGACACAGAAATAGGCAGTTGATTTAGATAAAGAATACCATTTAGACACAGAATTAGAGAATATATACACACATACAGCGGGAGGCCTTTATGTTCCCTTCATTGTTATAAATAGGGTGGACCAAATCATATTTTTGCAGTTTAAAATAATGTATGCAAAAAAGGCTTCCTCCAAAATGATTGATGAAGTTTAACAGATCTTTCATACTTATCCCCCCCCCCCCCCCCCCCCCCTCTGCTTGAACCACACGCATCTTCAAACTAAATCTAGATTTGCGACTGTTTCCTGCACAGTTGTGACCATAGCAAAATAGCAGCAGCCATTTGTACACTGCAAGGATCTGTAAACAGCATAGCAGGTTACTCATTGGTCAATGCAACAGTGCCATTTCCTGTTGATCTAGTCAAATGGTCACTTAAAATATTGAAATGTTGTGTAAACTCATTTTGAATCATCACCTCTCTGCAACAAATCCAACACAAGCTGACATTATAACTTTGATTCATTTATTGTACAGCTGCTGTTATGCTGCATTTATTTTAAATAGGTGTACCTAATAAATTGATAACTGTGTGGAAATAGTAGTTCACTTCTCTTGAATTTAATATCCAGTAAGGTAACAATTGAATTTCCGTCTGAAATGATTGAATTTTAAAGACAGAGGTTGTGTTTCTTAAAAGCCATGCATGACAATAATGTTAGCTGACTCCAAGCAGCAGATCACTTGTGTACCCAGCCAGTGTTACCACACACCAGATGGCAATGCGGCAATTTAGCTAAATGATTCATAGTTAAAAGCAGCATGTTGTAGATTTTAGATATGCAGTGCGACCTGTGGAATCTATTTAGCTTCAAATCAAAAGACACTGATTTTCATTGAACACAAAGTGAACAGACAAGCACATCTTCATGGGCAAATTAAATTCTGCTGTTGCACTCAGGTCTGGGTGCGAAGCAAAACCATTTGCACATCTACATGTTGGCCAGGCAGCTTTTCAGGTTACCAGCTGGTGTTAAATAAAAAGGTTATATAAGCACAACAAAGAGTGTGATCTAATATGATGTTCACATATTACAGGCATGCTAAAAGTATCCATATTTATCTCCTATTGAAAACAACACACTATCCTCTCTCGTATCTCATTTTGACCATTAATGCCCTCCATGCAGCACTGACTTCAAAAGGTATGGTTTCAAATAAGTGCATAATACACAATGAGGAGAACACATTAAGGGATATCATTAGGGTTAAAATGAATAATTATGTCAAGGAGGATTTTGAATTTCTCGAGTGTTTGTTGCTCTGGGGAGGTGTTTAGGTTTTAAGAAAACAGCTCAGTAAATCTTATTCCAAGGTTTTCAGAAAGACTGTCAGAAGGTTGTAGGTGGAGGATCATTTGTGCTCTGATTCATATTTGTAATACGCTGTCTGTCTATCACTCTTAGTCACTGCTCTATTTGATACTTCTTAAATACCTTGAGTCTGCTCTCTGTTCTGAAAAAATATAGGATCCAACAAACTCATGGTCGCTAGAACATGAAGTGAATATGAGCTAAAAGCATGTTGATATTAGAAAATGACTGGGATGATATCTAAGGGCAGATTAATATTTGATAGATGTGGTGATGGGTGAAACACTCACACACTGTTTTGCTCTAAACAAAGACAACAAGTTTAAAGCTTCCCTAGCTCACTTTTGAGAATCCTAATGGGCCGGTACCGAAGTGGGCCGGTCGGGCCACTAGGTCCACCGTTTCCCCGCAGCGAGGCTCGACCCCGTTGACAGTGCACTAGCACCCCTACCTCCCCCCCCCTCGTTGACAGTGCACTAGCACCCCCCCCTGTTGACAGTTCATGTGGGCTGGGCTGGGTGAGATTCCCGGGGTGATTTTTTGTCCCAGTCCACCCCTGAAGGCTGCTAATATCACCACCACAAGGTGTTCAACTTGTTTTGGGTTTTTGAGAGAATTTAGAAAAATTACAATTGGAACATACTAGTTTAAAACAGTATAAGCACAATGAGGCTACAAAGTCTGACTAAAGTAAAGAATTCCTTGACATCCTCTTAAGGCAAGGCAAGTTTATTTATATAGCACCTTTCAACACAAGGCAATTCAAAGTGCTTTACAAAAAACGAAAGACATTAAGAAAATGGCACTTAAGTCAAAGTCACTCTTTTTTAAGACACTTCAAAGCTATGATGAGGTATTAAACATGGTTGTAACAAAACATGAACATATCTTAAGGTAGTGTTGAGTGTATAACTTATTTCAGGCATCTAACAAAAAAAATCATTAAACAAAATCCAAATAAAGGACTCTTATTTAGCGATCTTTGTCAGTGCAGACAAATGAAAATGTTCATACCTGATGATGGCACTAGCCAGGGGATCACCAAGCCATTATATAGGCACAACTCTCCCCTATTCCCTTATAGCAACCTTCCTGTCATGTGCCATATAGTCTGCATCACACAGTCTTAGTGGTCCATCCTTTGTTTTTGTTTCCAGACAGCTGATTCCCTGTTCTGCTTGCCTGCCCCATCGCCTGTTTAGCTCTCCCTCGCTGACTGATTGCTGGATTGGGCCTTGAACCTCTGATCAAGTAAACGCTTGATTGCTTTGAACTGCTCTGCCTGTGAGTCCACACATCTCCGTGTGCAGAACCGCTGCCGCACCAAAAGCATTTGTAAAATTAAAGTCAACTGAGATTCTGCTATAAAAATGTTTTAATTTAAAAAAACAAAAACTGCAACACATTTGAAATGTATTGATTGGAGACGTGTGGAGAGAGAACATGCAGGCTGCCTTAAATAGCTTTAGAGAGATGCAGTGTATGATTTTAATTGCTTCTTTATATCACTCTTAGCCCTAAACTTTTGATCCTGCAGTATACAGTCAACTGTGTGGAGTTTTCAAAGTACAACAGTGCAATAGTGGAGTTCATGCTCATCAATGCAACCTCACATTTTCTTGCTGAATTGTGCTCATCCATCTTTAATGCCTGGACTTTGTCCTCTCCACCTCCTGTGGCTACAACTGAAGATCTAATCTTCCAACATTTCCTTTTTACTCTATCATCACTGAATGTGTGGTTTGTAGCCAGCACAGCTTCAGGCTTTTCCTTTCAAACTTGTGTTCACCTTGAGTGACATTGCGAGAGATAATGCATATTTAAAAATGTAGCCCTATTTACTGTAACATCTAGAGTGTGTTCTCAAATGCGTTGTGTTGTATACAAGGTCTTTGCACTGATAAAGGTAAAAGCAACCCAACCTACTGCATCAGAGATAAGAATAATGTACGGTTTGTCCTATCTTTACCTGTGCCCACAGTGCTGTACACATCTGAGCTCAGCTCTCTGCCACTGTCGAATACAGAGTCGAACGTGATGCTGGGAATTGTGGGAGAAGTTGGACCGTTGTCCTTGTCACTGCTCTTCAGCTTCCTCCTTATCTTCACCTGCCCAAGAAATACAAAATTCTCAGCTCAAGAAAGTTTTCCTGTGGATAGCAAAACCCTGTTCACACTTTATGGAAAGATAAAAATGCAGACTTACTTTTTAGGCTGTCACTGATATGGCCAAAAAATGCAGCCTTGTGAATCTGTAGTCTGTAGACTGTATGTTTGAAAAAAGCCAATAAAATAAGTTGTCAATGATGTACATTTCTATTTTTGTTAAATTCATGTATAAACTATTTGATTGAGGTCTAAGTGCAGCAGGACATTAATCAAATTGACTACTTTATATTTAAATAATTTTATATTGTTGTGATTTCACAACTTTGAGGTGAGACCCTGAGTCTAGAGGGAACACTTTTGACACAGAAACAACATTTTGAAGTGTATGCATTAGTGTGGGCATGGTCGAATAGCCAAGTAGGCCCAGCAGTAATATTGAATAATCAATACTAATATTGAACGGCAGCTGGCGTTCTGCTGGCAGTTGCATACCTTAGTTTTCTGGGAGTTTGTTCCAGATATTTGGAGCATAATAACTGAACGCTGCTTCACCATGTTTAGTTCTGACTCTGGGGACAGAAAGCTGACCAGTCCCTGAAGACCTGAGAGATCTGGATGGTTCATAATTTAGCAGTAGTTCAGAAATGTATTTTGGGCCTAAACCATTCAAAGCTTTATAAACCAGCAACAGTATTTTTGAAATCTATTCTTTGACACACAGGAAGCCAGTGTAAAGACTTCAGAACAGGAGTGATGTGATCCACTTTCTTAGTGTTAGTGAGGACTCGAGCAGCAGCGTTCTGAATTAGCTGCCGCTTTCTAATAGATGTTTTAGTGAGACCTGCAAAGACACCATTACAGTAGTCCAGTCTACTGAAGATAAAAGCATGGACAAGTTTTTCCAAATCCTGCTGTGACATTAGTCTTTTAATCCTAGATATATTCTTTAGGTGATAGTAGGCTGATTTAGTAACTGTTTTAATGTGACTGTTGAAACTCACGTCAGAGTCCATGACTACACCTAGATTTCTGGCTTTATCTGTTGTTTTGAACATTGCACACTGAAGCTCAGCGCTAACTTTTATACGTTCTGCCTTGGCTCCAAAAACCATTACCTCAGTTTTGTCTTTGTTTAATTGGAGAAAGTTCTGACACATCCAGTCATTGATTTGTTCAATGCACTTACTCAGTGTTTTAACTGGAGAATAGTCTCCTGGTGAAATTGTTTCATTATCTGAGCCAGTGGTAGCATGTAGATGTTAAAGAGAAGAGGCCCCAAGATGGAGCCTTGAGGTACCCCACATGTCATATTTGTCAACTCAGATGTGTATTTACCTATAGAAACAACGTTTTTTCTGTCCTTTAAGTAGGATTCAAACCAATTTAGAACTGTTGCAGAAAGTCCCACCCAGTTTTCTAGTCGGTCGAGTAATATATTGTGGTCAACAGTGTCAAACGCAGCACTGAGATCTAATAATACTAACACTGAAGTTCTGCCACTGTCTGTGTTTAAGTGGATGTCATTGAAGACCTTTACAAGAGCAGTCTCAGTGCTGTGGTTTGGACGAAAGCCTGACTGGAACACATCGAAACAGATATTTAAATGCAAGAAATTACTCAACTGTTGAAAAACAACCTTTTCAATGATTTTACCTAGAAATGGCAGGTTTGATATGGGCCTGTAATTGTTAATTACTGAAGCATCTAGATTATTATTTTTTAAGAGCGGTTTAATGACTGCAGTTTTCAGGGCCTGTGGAAAAATACCTGAGTGAAGAGATTTGTTTACTATATGAAGTAGATCTGAGGCCATGCAAGGACAAACATCTTTGAAAAATCCTGTTGGAATAATATCAAGGCAGCAGGAGGAGGATTTCAGAAGTTGAATAATGTCCTCTAGGTTTTTATCATTAATCTGATGGAATTGTGTCATGGTGTTTGAATTGATATTAGGTGGACATAGGGACAACACATTTGCTGTACCTGATGCAGAGGCACTGACTGCTTGTTTGATTTTATGAATTTTGTCAGTGAAGAAGGAGGCAAAATCATTGCATGCTCTGGTGGATAGAAATTCAGAGGCTACTGACACTGGGGGATTAGTTAGTCTGTCGACGGTAGCAAACAAGGCACGTGCATTGTTTTTGTTTTTGGTAATGATGTCAGAGAAGAAAGACTGTCGTGCGTTTTTCAATTCCAAATTATAAAGGCCAAGTCTCTCTTTATAGATTTCAAAGTGAACCTGGAGATTTGTTTTTCGCCACCTACGTTCAGCTTTTCGACACTCTCTTTTTTCTGCTCTGACGGTCATGGCCTTTCTCCATGGAGATATTTTCTTCCCAGTCACTTCCTTTACCTTAGTTGGAGCAATGGCATCTATAACATTTTTAATTTTTGAATTAAAATGATCTACTAGCTCATTTACTGAGATGTTAGCAGGGGCAAGTGTGGAAGAAAAATTCTGAGTAAACATTTCCCTAGTATTTTCAGTTAAATATCGCTTTGTGGTTACCTCTTTTTGAACATTTTTGTGAACAGAAATAGAGCTCTCAAAGAAAACACAGGAATGATCAGAGAGTGCAACATCAGTCACCACAACCTTAGAGATATTCAGACCCTTTGAGATAATTAAGTCCAGAGTGTGCCCCTTATTCTGCGTGGGCTCCGTCACATGCTGAGTCAGTCCATAGTTATCAAGAACACAAAACAGTTCTTTAGCCCCTCTGTCCTGGGGGTTGTCAACATGGATGTTAAAATCACCAACAATGACTAGACGGTCAAAGTCAATACACACTATAGACAGCAGTTCAGTAAAGTCATCAAAAAAGCTTGCACAGTTATAGTGAAATAATAGCAGAGAATAGTCACACTCCCTTTGTTTTTGTTGAAGGCCTACTCTGAGTTTCTCTCAATCTTCTTTGTTTAAGTAGCTGGTCCAGCAGCGAGTCCATGTGTTTGCCATTTAAAGCTTTTTTAATACAACATTCAGAGCCTTCTAAGTTTAAGGGGTCTCAACAGGGCAATGGATGAGCCGTCAGCTAGCAGCTAACATGTTAGCAAGTAACAGTGCTAGCAGCTAACGGTAACAGTAGGCTACAGTCAGAGCTTGCTCACCTGAAGGGATGAAGTGAACATACTGTACGTGCAGATGTTTGCTGTCCTAAACTTCAGCTGTCCCCGGAAATGTCACTGTGCGTAAAAAACTCAATTGTGTAGTGCTTGTTTGGCTTGTGTGTCTGATGCAAAGGATGAATAATTAAAGTATTAGCTGCCCTCGGCTGCTTTATAGTAGCTCATGGTTTTCAGTCTTTGTGATGATTTGTGTTGGTGTTGTGACACTGAAACATCCAGACATAAAGTTTGCTGAGCTCAGGTTTAAATTTGATTTGCTAAGCTTTTTCAACGCTACAGAATAACAGACGATGTATGATAATCAACAAACCTGCTGTAATAAATTCACGCATGTGCAGCATTTGTAAATTATTATATAGCACTGCGTTCAACAAGATAACGACATCTCAGCAAACTGAAAAGTACGGTGGCCCTGAAGTGCAAGACACTACAGCATTTCACAAAACGCCACAGCATTTCAGAAAACGCCACAGCATTTCAGAAAACACAACAGCATTTCACAAAACACAACAGCATTTCACAAAACACAACAGCATTTCAGAAAACACTACAGCATTAATCACAAAACGCCACAGCATTTCAGAAACGCCACAGCATTTCAGAAACACAACAGCATTTCACAAAACACAACAGCATTTCAGAAAACGCCACAGCATTTCACATTGGACGGAAAGGGTATTCCTTAAAGGCCCTGTCACACTGTCCCGAAATTGACACCCGATGGACACATGATAAAGGAAATGTTCAAATTCGGCTGTGATCGTAGCAACATCGGGCCATTCGTGAGGGCATCTTAAGCCATCGTATGACCGCCGGTGGAGTTTCTCAGGCTCCGGCAGCAACTTAGTGAGCGGCAACTTCGTAAGGCACTCGTGAGGACATCTTGTCAAATCGTGTCATCTTCGTGTTATCATCGGTGCCATCGGGCATTCGCCCTCACTCTGATCGGGGCGAATGCCCGATGGCACCGATGATAACACGATGCCCTCACGATGGCCTTACGAAGGGCACAATTGACACACGAATTCAACACGAAAATGAACCTTCGCAAGGTCCTTCGGCAATTTCTTGGCATGCCAAAGATTTTGCCACCGCTCACGAAGTTGCTGCCGGAGCCTGAGAAACTCCACGGTCATACGATGGCTTAAGATGCCCTTACGAATGGCCCGATGTTGTTACGATCACAGCCGAATTTGAACATTTCCTTCATCGTGTGTCCATCGGGTTGTTTTATTGCACAACAAAATCATGTAAATATATTATGTAAATAACCCAATTTGTGTTCTGTGAAACTAAAAAGGATATAATATATTATTTTGAAGGACAGTTGACAGGAAGTTGTTGTTGTTATGGAAACATCATTACGGAGAAAACGTAATATGTTCTACATATAACGACGGATAAAGTAAAGAACAAAGTCTGAAGATATCAGTACAGTATCATAGTATAGTATCATCTCATTTCGGCAAACATTTCAGGGCTTTGTGGACTTAATCCATGACAAACTGGAGTTGAGACCAGGAGGCGGAGTCACAGTCTTACACGCTTCTCTGCGCTCTCTCCTAGGCAGTCATCCATAGGAATCCCGAACCCAATAAAATACCCAATATTAGCGGTGTGTGTGTCTGCCCAAGGACAAGTTAAGGTAAAACCTAATAGAGGTGTCATACATAATAACCTAATAAAAGTAAATGTAACAACTACTACAGTGCAACAAAACAGGAATATTAAATGTGGTCTCTTAAACATAAGATCTCTAGCATCTAAAGCAATATTGGTAAATGATTTAATATCAGATTATAATATTGATATATGCTGTCTCACTGAAACTTGGTTGAGACATGAAGAATATGTCAGCATAAATGAGG